GTTCGTCATCTTCACCTTTTTCATTAGGTAGTACATATACATGTAATTGTTTTGGCTATCAATTTGTTGCACAGTAAAAGTGGTAACTTTTACATTTGGGTATGCCGATAATCCTTTTCTTTTTCATTTCAGTATATACATGTAAATTCTGCCACAAAAAAGGATAAAATATAAGTTCTAAATCCGCGTCCGAGAATATCTGATGCAAATATTATTTGATACTGTACTAGCAAGTACAACATACACTATGAAGTTGGTTTAATGATATGAAGGATAAGCTTAATGTATTATACATATCTAATTATGAAGTATATTGATTTTACAGCATATAAATGGTTCTGCACTACATATTATAGAAAATAGACTCAACGATATAAAGGATAGATGATGCATATTTGATAAATTTAATATGCAATCACTTTTTTAACTAGTTTTCACTTTGTATATAGTGAACGTTTTGCAAATTATCGCCACAGGCAATATAAAAGTATTTTTATATACCGGTGGAGGGCAAACTACAAAACTAAACAAAAAAAGGAAATAATATCAGATTATCAGATTCACTCAGTGAATACTATATCCAGCTTTAAAATTGAGTTTCTTGAATTTCACACAACAGCTTTAGCCCTGGTATATCTTTAAGACTCTCCATGGCTAATTCATTCGACGAATATCTATCTATTTTTGTATCGAAATTCAACATTTAATCCTTCGTTATTTATCTATCATTAATTCATTATACAGAATTTGTGGGGTCAAACAACTGCCAAAACATATGAAATGAAATCGGAAATAAAAATGGCATGAGGTCCAATTTATATACCCACAGATTAAAATTGGTAATCTTTTTCTAAGACGTGAAAAAATTGACAAGAAATTAACTTGAAGCCCTTTCGTAGCCCTTAAAAACAATATAAATGTGAACGGGGCCTGAAACACGGAACCCTGGACACTCCAGAGATTGAATCAGGTGCTAGGAGGAATAAGCATCTCCTGAAGACTGACTATATAATTTTCGAAATGCTGACTTTAAAAGAGATTGTTGAAATCACTGCAACAGAGCGCAATTTGTGTCAATCGGAATTCCGACAGATTGATGAAAGACACGGTTCTCAGAGACTACGTAAATTGAAGTGAAACTCCAACAACTTATTATCAACCTCAGAGTACTTTTGTATAGAGTCAAAATTATTTTAAATGGAAAACGTGAAGATAACGAACAGAGATCGATCTCAAAAAATCTACAAACAATAAAAATCTGTGAACAGGGCATAAAACACGGGCCCCGAAAATTCCAGAGGTGGGATTAGGTGCCTAGGAGGAGAGAGCATCCCCTGTTGATCGGTCACACCCGCTGAGCTCTATGTATTGATCAGGTAGACGGAGCATTCCGTAATCAAATTTAGTATTTAAAAAAAGCCAAACAATTGGTATGATACATGTCAGCCAAAATACGACCAAATGATAGGTTATATTTGCTGACAAGGTCACTATAACGACCATAGAATTACTAAATGCTAACAAACCAATTCTGTAATGACCAATTACAAGATAGACAAAATTTCCAAGTTCCATTTTTCTTTAAGAAGCAGTTGTCTATGATAGCAAAAAGCCTAATCTCAAATTTATCGTCAGGAATGGTTGTACCCTAATAAAAAAATACCATAACTAGAGTTTACTAAAATTAACTATAGTAAATCAAAGTTATTACTTTAGTAATTCAAAGTTTTCAAAGATATCACTATAGTGTCATAGTGATCACTATAGTAAATCAAAGTTTTCAAATTGATCACTTTAGTGTCAAAGTTAACACTATAGTAAATCAAAGTTTCAAAGTAATCACCATAGTAAATCAAAGTTTTCATGGTTATCATTACGGTATTGCAAAGTTGTGAGAGTTATCACTATAGTGTCATAGTGATCACTATAGTAAATCAAAGTTTTCAAAGTTATCACTATAGTAAATCAAAGTGCTAAAGATACCACAGTAGTTAACCAAGTTATCACTATAGTTAACTATAGCAAACTATATTTAATTATAGTTTACTATACGTATAGTATTTTTGTAAGGGTATGAAGTGTTGAAAACCATACATTTTGATGTTATTGACTTTAATTTTCTAAAAGTTCGAAGGGATTCTTGAAAATTATGTTTTACACAACTTCTTGAATAGGTTGTAGGACAGTGTGCGTTTGAAATTTCTCCTTCGCAGAAGTTAATACTTTTGAAAAGAATAAATCAAAGCTATACCTTGATATGAATTCCTGTGTTTTAGAGATTTATTTCACAATGAATTGATTAGAATACAGGTATCAAAATAATACTTACAGGTAAACCGTAAATCTGGTTATTTTCATCGGCCGCAGGAGCGGCTGATCTATTTGTGGTTGTGATAGAATGTGCACATGGGGAAATGAGACGTTATTATGCCCCCGAAGATTCGGGGGTATATAGTTTTTGCCTAGCTTGTCCGTCCGTCTGTCTGTCTTTTTGTCTGCAAAAACTATAACACTGCCCATAACTTTTGATTGGTTGAAGCTATGGCTTTCATATTTCAATGTGTATTCCTTGTGATATATTTGATCTCTTGACTTTGACCTTGGAGTTTGACCCATTTTTGCAAAAAATTACCCAACTTAAATCTTGGTCATAACTTCTGAACAGTTGGTGCTAGGGCTTTCATATTTCACACATGTATTCATCATGACAAGACTTTTTCCACAGGTGTAAATATTTTTGACCTTGACCTTAGAGTTTGACCCAGTTTTGCAAAAACTATAAACTTGGCTATGACTTTTGAACAGTTTGTCCTAGGCTTTCAATTTTCATCCTATATTCCTTTTTGACAAGACCTTCCTTTGGATACCAACAATTTTGTCCTTTCGATTTTGACCTTGGAGTTTGACCTACTTTTGAAAAAAAAAATTAACCTTGGACATAACTTTTGAACAGTTGGTCCTAGGTCTTTCATAATTCACAGGTGTATTTCTAGTGAAAAGACTTTACCTTGGGTAAAAATATGACCTTTTGACCCTGACCTACTTTGAAAAAACTTTTCAATTTTTTCATTTCTTATGAGATATTTATTGATTTATGATTTTATAAAAAGTTGTTACATGGAACTGTTTTAGATATAAACACTAAACGTAATGAGTTTCCGGATATTAATTACCGTGCCAAAATAGGTACAAGATATTGAAAAATTTTAGAAGAAGTAAATTTTTATTTGAATACACTACATTTGCCAGTGTCACAATAATATTTTTTTTCTGAACTGTGCATTTATTGTGATACTTGTCTATCACAAGGAAAACATCAGATTATCACGTGAGAAAAGTCCAGGATATCAACATGTGAAATGTTTGTTCGTCCTTTTTGTCAGAAATCATTGAGACATTCATAATTACTAATTTTAGAAATATGTTATACCATCCTCACAATGCCAGGGGTCCTGTGTCAACTTGTTGAAGTGGGACCCCTGACAGATTTCATTCGATATCTTACGGGCTGACCTCAGCGACGTCTTTCGGGAAAATTACAAATCTTGATTGCTGTATATCAAAATAGACATCTGAAAAGGGGGGGGGTGTCGTGTAGATGGTCATTTTAGTAGTTCATCTTTAATAACTTTTTTTGTTAGATGAACATGAAGTAAGATATACCGTGCACTGAACAAGAGCTAACAAACAAATATGTTTGGAATACTAGCTATTGGCTATTGTTTTGTTGAAAACTGATAAAGTTATGGTCATTTAAGTTTCAGCCAATGAAATTGCAGTGCACGTGCATGCTCGTTTCTTCAAGAAACTTCATAGATATCATATTGTAGAACCCCATAATATGTACTTATATTTTAAATTTCATAGTATTTTGTAATAATAATAATAAAACAAGAAAGTTATCGAGTTTTGCCTCAGCCAACCAGAACGAAGCACACTTGCATACTAATTCAACCATGTCGTCTTGTCTTGACTACATTTACTTGTTCAAGTACCGAGTTTCAGAGCATTTCATAAAAAATATGACAGTTATAAATGTCACTCATTGCATGCGCACGCACTTGCATGTGTGACCGAGCAATTTTGATATAAAACATTTAGGACGAAGTGAGAGAAGCGTTATAATGCAAAAGAACTGAAGGACAAAAACAAACGGGCGATTGTATAAGTGAATATTGATGTACCCAATTGACTCTACATCGGTAGTAATTGATTAAAGATTCTTTGAAATGTTTTAATGTAAGATTATGTAATGATACTATATATAATTCTTAAAAAGGGTGTATGTTTTGTATACAGTTAGCAGCTGGCTTTCGCCAAGACAGCCACGCTGGACAGCACTCTCGTCCGCTATATGGCAGAGCCTGTCCACTTTGTTAATAAATTTGTTATAAATAGCCTTTATACTGAAGTCCGGCATCATATTTCCAACGATGTTGGCATGTACAATTTAGACAGTTACAGTATATATGTATGTGCGCGAAAAATGACCTTCTTTCCGCACATATATGTAACATGCCAATTAAACCTTAAAAAAGGTTTTATCTCAATCGGATGAGCAGTTTCCGAGAACACTCCGAGACAAAAGAGTACCGGAGAAGGAAGAAGAATCAAAGTAAAAACGATATGTTCCCAGACTTCGTTTGGAGAAAATATTTCTTCACGCTATACTGACCAAAAACATTATTTTCTCCATTCCGCGTGCGATTTTTTTAGTGTTTGTGATACGAGACTTTATTTTGGAGGCATGTAAAATTTTATCAACTTCTTGATAATCTTTCCACCGATAAGAGACAAGCGGTTTTATAATTTAAAATTCCCCTCAAACTGAATAAATCAGATTAGCGGTGACTGTTACCGTGAGGTAAGTTTAAAATCATTTTGTTTCAAATTAAATATCATATTGTACTGTGTAAGTGTTAACATTATTGTAAATTTGAAAAAAAAAGAAAAAAAAAAGAGAAATTGACGTATATGGTGAATATTGTAAATAACTTTTATCTACATGTATAGAGATGTCCGTGCAGGTGGTGGTCAAGAATAGCTGCCAGTCTATTGGGGAGGGACCACACTGGGATGACAAGACGAACACGCTTATATACGTAGATATCCTCACTAATGATATCCATCGATGGAAGTCAGAGACTGGAAATGATGAAAAAATACATCTAGGTAAATTTTATTCAAAATTGCAATTAACTTTGGGTTGATAAGATTTATTTTTTTTTTTTTTTAGATTGTCCAAACTTCAAGTTTAAATGACTAATTCCAAATGCTTTTAAAGTATCAGCTTGGCAGTGCAGAATTTTGAAATATATGGAAGAACATTGCATTATTTACACAGGACTTATCTAATTCTCTTATCAGTCTGATAACCACCGTATACAATTCATATACCCTCTCCAAATGACCTTTTGAACCGCATTTTAAGTGGCATTTGTACTGGTATTTAAAAAGCCTTCTCAATCTGAAGCTAGCTTAATTTGACAAATATTTGAGCATCAGTTTACATTTTTTTGGTTTTCATAAGACTTTTTAACAAACTTTGGCAGTAGTATTCTTACATGATCAACTGATTCCTTCTTGCTACAACGCAAAACTGTCATTTTTTTCTTTTAAGATTTGATTAATATTGTAATTTTGTTTCCTTTTTACTCTGTGCAAGCAATGGTATAAACTACTAGTATGTATGTGGACAAATTGTCAATTAAAAAATTAATCAAAAAAAAGCAAAATCTCTTAACACCAACACAATAACAGTACAAGTATTTACTGTAGGTTTTTTAAAGCCATATGAGCTGTATTTTTGAGAATTTTATTTTGCTGTTAAAATGTGTTATTATGATAAATTTGTGCATAATTTAAACCATTTTGATCAATTAGACAGAAATAAAGTATCAAACTGTTTCAAAATCAAGGATTCTTTACAATCAAATATAAAGTATTATATAAGAAATCAATATTGTACAGAACGACAATAATGTAATTTGGCTTCAATCAAAGCTTATAAATAGTTCTTCCATCGCAAATAAGAACAACCGGGCCCAGAAGTTTATAAACGTTCTTTTTTTCTGTCATTGAAGTAGTTAATTACAATTTTGCAACAAAAATTTCTGACATCAAAGTTGCAGCTCATATTGCTTTAAATTATATTTGGCTAGTCTCAATGGATTTTTCAATAATTTCAGAGGACAGCGTTGGATTTGTGGTACCTTGCAGGAAAGGTGGCTACATTGTGGGTCTCGGTCGCACTCTGTCACACGTTGACTGGGATTCAAGAAAAGTGACAAAACTTCATGAAGTTGATCAAGGAACGAAGAACAGATTTAATGATGGAAAGTGTGATTCCAGAGGACGAATTTGGGCAGGTAAGAAAGAGGGGGAGGGGAAACATTTTGATGGTAAAACAATGATCAGTCTTCACTATTGCTATAAACTTTATTATTGTTGATGCTGCCAACGGTGCTGTTGCTTTTCTTTTTGAAATTGGCCACTTGAAGGAACAATGGGATATGAATCAGAACCAGCCAATCCTGAGAGAGAAAGGGGATCTTTATTTCGATTGGACGCTGATGGATCCCTACACGCATGCCTAAATAAAATCAACATATCCAATGGTCTAGCATGGACTGCTGACAACAAAACCATGTATTACATTGACTCACTGCCGAGAAAAGTGTACGGATTTGATTACGATATTGAGACAGGGAACATAAGTAAGATTTGAAACGTAAACAACGAAAATTTGTATTCGTTCATGTTTCTTTCACCCAGTATCTACATGTATTTTAAAGTAAATTCACATTTCAGGTATACTAAAAAAAATATTATATTATATAAACAAAATCATTTTTCAACCATTTTCATGGCCAATACCTATCATTGCAATTTCTAGACAAAGTTCATCAACCAGTGAGAAGATCGAATAATACATGTATATATACCACAAAAACTTACTCTGAAGTTGTATCTACAGTAAACCTGGTTCTCATAAAATTACCGTCAATATCCAGTTATCATTTTTTTCTAACTTGCAGGCAATCAGAGAGTGGTCGTTGATTTTGGGGAGGGAACTATTCCCACTCTGGGATTCCCAGATGGTATGTGTATTGATACAGAGGACAAAATATGGGTGGCTTGTTATGGTGCTGCCAAAATTGTTCGATTTGATCCAATCACAGGTAAGACATGAATTACTGCTATTGAAATTTTCGTAGAAATTTTCTCAAGTTATCTTTCACTCGGTCTTGAAAATCTCTGCACAACTGTTTTCTATCAGGACACATTGAGGCAGAGCTTTACCTCGAATAAATGATAATTTTTGTTATGAATTATTGAGTAATAATTTTAAAAATGTGGAATTGAGTGTAATTTACCAAAAAGAAGAAGTATTAATGTGTTTGTTATACAGTTTTGTTTAAACCTTTTCTAATTTTTTTTTTTTTTTAGAAAAAATGATAATTTAATATTCAAGTGACAGTCGTATCTATCATTTCGTATGCATATCATGCAGGAAAACAACTGAGAACTGTTGAAATTCCCGCGAAGAGAACCACTTCATGTTGTTTTGGCGGGAAAAATTTAGACGAGCTTTACGTGACCTGTGGCGTACAGGGGTCAACCGCAGAAGAGAGGGAGAAATACCCGCTGACAGGATCCGTCTTCAGGGTGACAGACCTGGGAGTCAGAGGTCGCCCTGCTCACATGTACGAAGGATAGATTGCTGACATATAAAGAAAATTTTGATTGATGAACATACAATGTAACATAAAAAGGATATTGAAAGTTTTTTTTTTTTTTTTTTTTTCATGTGATTGATTCGAGCACTTGGTGATAGTGATTGATTAGGTACTGAAATGATGATTTCTTTCAAGAAATACAAAAAACTATGAGCTATGAGTTTTTACAGAATATAACTTGCTACATTACAGAATTTAAACTAAAATTATCATTCTTTCATTCGATTTCTTCAGAAAGGTTTTGATTAATTAATATTGGTTCAATGGTTCCATTTAATTATGCAAGGAGCTAGGACTCATATGAATCATGTCACTTATCATTTAATTAAATTCCTTATGTTGACTGATTCATATCAGCTGGAAAGTTTCTGGGTTTTTAATTTATATACATTGTATTAGAGTCAGTGACGCAAAAAAGGGAAATTGAACAAAAACAAAAAAAAAAACAAACAAACAAACAAAAACAAACCAAAAAAAAAAAAAAACAAAAAAAAATGTATGGGTCATGCAAATTTTGTTCATTTTCCTGAAAGTATTAGGTTTCATAATTGCAGGTTTCAGAACCTAAAAAAAATCTTTTTTGGGAAAAGAGATAATTATTGTCAGGCCAAGGACGAAAATTTGCTTCATTCTTACCTCCTTGTTGTACATATGTGCAAAAAACATGAACAAGTTACCATAGTCTCAAGTCCCAAGAAGTGATATGTAGATCAATGATTTTGAAACAATCTGCAAAAAAGATTTTTACCTTCGCATGCTCCAATTCGATGTTGTTTGTGAGTTTAACGATATAAGTAAAAGTTACATTGAACACTGTTCGTCATCTTCAACCTTTATACATAAGGATGTTTGCATTTTAAAATTGTCTGATCGTATCTCTGTTGTTTGTGAGAGAAATATCTTTAAGGATTTTTATTATAAATTGTTGATAGCCTCACCCTAGCTATGATGATTTGACAAGCAAAAAATAAATAATAATAATATTTAAAAAACCAAATCAACACTTCCTCAAACCTGAAAAACCTATTTCGTGGGTGGGTGGGTGGCAGATACAACTTTCTAAGTCTCTATTTTCATCAGATACATGACTCTTCTTTCCATTTTAAGAGAGGTCTGGGTATCCCAGAGGAGGAGGGGGGTCCAAGGTCATTTCTTCGTCGCTTTTACAGAGAACCTTTTAACTAAATATCCCGGAAGGGGGGGGGGGGGCAGACCCTCCCCCCTTCTAGATCCGCTGATGGTTTCTTCTGATTTGACTTTTTGAAATAAGGTGTTCAATACAACAACAATTTTTCTATTGGAAAATTGACAGATATGACTCATTTGCGTGACATTTAAAAAAAACTGACCACAAGTTAAAACAAGTATATTTTTTAAAAAATTAATTAATTAAACATATACATGTATGGTACATACACTAGTTCTATTCACAAAAGAAATCGCTCACCTTTAGTCGGTATACGATTTATCAGTTATTGATATTGCTAGCATAAAAAAGACTATTACAAATAATTAAGGGGGTTCTTTCCGAATTCTGCATTGGTTGTATATAGTTTAAATTCCAAAAGGATAAGATTTTTTTTCAAAAAAATCAAGCATTAGAAAGTTCTTCTTCCATCTCCCAAGTCATGCATAATTTACATGTTGTTACTATACAGGTACATGTATATTGATGAGTATGCAAATGCCTCGGTAATGTAATGCATCCACAGTGAATTCTGGACCCACCCCCTGCAAATGTTTAATGCCTTTTTAAAACTTGTCAAGGAAGGTTTAACCACCTAGCCACCACCCCATTTCATATATATAAAGTAATTACATGAAATTGAATGCAGTGTGAGAAAAAGCACCTAGCGCTAGAAATGTTTACCTGGATGATGTCATTTATTTTCTAATCTTTTTTAAAATTCTAAAACTTTCTGCAAAAAACGTCGTTAAAACGTTTATCGTTATTGTTGTGTAATACTTGTGAAAGGAATGACAACTATTTTAGTATATGTGTATTTGCATAAGTAAATTAATCTATCTGAATATCCGTTCCACCTCAGTCGCTTGCACCAACGTTATTTTCTCTCCAAGGTAATTTTAACCTAAGTCTGGATAATTTTATCCTAAATGATTATCAATCTAGTATAAATGAAATTGATTTTCTTCGCTAATTTCTATGAACTTTGTATGAACTATGATCAAAGTAACCCGAAGTTATCAATTAAACATTGTAGTAGATTATTATAATGATTTTTTTGTGACGAAATTAGAAAGATCTAATTTCTGTTCACATCCTTGTTTTATACTGTGCTCCCTTAAGTAGGCTTGAGACATCCACACAGGTGTGCACAGGTAAACAAATATACTATATTTTTTATCTTTTACTCTTTTCATTTCTGAGATTTCTATATTTAAGGATTAAAAGACAAATAGAGATGATGGATTTATATCTCTATCGCTTTTTTTGCATGATTGCGATAAATTTTAAATTGTTTTATGCTTTACCTTTGCAGATTTTTTATGTACTGAAACGTGAAATCGATTTCGATCGGAAATGGAGATCCCGGAACAACTCCTGGTGTGCGGATTTTGTCACAACAGCTTAGAGTCGCCTAAACTTTTACCATGTCTTCACACTGTGTGTTGGAAGTGTCTGGCTACGAAAAGAGAAGGTCTAACGAAATGTACAACCTGTCAACAACCAATAGAAGGACTCGATACCGTACCCTCTCTACCCGACGACAAATTCAGCAAAAGTCTCATAGATTTTGCCAGAATTCCAAATGAAATTGACGAGGAGACAACTGAATCTCTTTCAAAAATATTGGAAGAGTTGGAAACGCAACAAAACGCAGTTTCTATCGATCTGAAAAAATTGAGGGTTAAGTCGGAGGAAGCGAGTTTTGGAGCATTTAAGAATGAGAGAAATTTCTTTAAAGTGAAGAAAAAGGCCGAAAATGAAATTAAGCTAAAAATAACGGACCTAAGAAAACGGTTTGACAAGTATCTTCTGGAGAAAGAAATAGAGATGATGGAAGAGCTAGATAACGCCTTGGATGACGAAGAGTTTGACCTTTCTCAGTCTGTAATCTGGAATCGTTCAGTTATGGGATCTATTGAAAACAAAGAAGAACTGCTTAATAAGTGTAATCTGCAATCCTTAAACTCGGCACCAAAGGCTCTGGCATACAAGAGGGTCTTAACGGAAATGAAAGACCACATATCACATATTGGAGGATCTATTTCAAAGAAAAATCCTACAAACTTGGAAATAAATTTCAAATACAACCAAGACATTGAAGATGTGTTTACAAAACCTGTGGGGAGCATTGAGATTCGGAAATCTGGAAACAATGTAGAAGAAGAAGCCAAGAGGGAGTCGGCCACGGCACCGTTTGAAAATGCTCCTTACAAAAATGCGGTTTATCTTAGAACATTCCCCTCACTTTTACCCGAGGATAGCAAAGGGTACGTTGTAGGGATAGCATGGGTACCCCCCGATCGCCTAGTTCTTGTCGACAAATGGAACGGAAAACTGAAGCTGTTTGATGAAAATGGTCGTCTCATCAACGTTATGGTATTTTCAGGAGGCGAGCCGACAGACATTGTATACACCAAGGGCACAAACATCCGTCATTTATGTCTTGTCACCATTCCCAGCGGGCGACTTATTTTGCAAGTTGCTGTTGAGGAGAATATCATAAGGTTATCGAGTCGCATTGTAACTGTGACGGGATACTCCAGTATTGCGTACGACAAGGTTTGCGCCAAACTTATCTGTGGCGTCTGTCAGCCCTACGGAACTCCAAGAATTGATATCGTCAGCGCCAATGGAGTGGTAGAGTTTACCATTGCTACCGATTTACAGCGCAGACCTCACTTCATCTGTCCGCGTTCTATTGACATATTCCTCGGTATCATTGCTGGCTGCGATTGGCAAAAGAATCGCATTCTGTTTATTGCACGTGACGGGTCAATTCGAGGGTCGTATTACGGAAGCCCACAAGCCCCGCTTATGAACCCTGTTGGTACTACACTGGACGGCAGGGATCATCTTTTGGTAGCAGATTGTAAAAGAAACAAAATTCACATCGTTTCTTCTTCTGGCGAACACTTGGGAATCTATGATACGAGTGATCACGTCAAGGACCCTCGCGAGATTAACGTTATAGCTCATGAGAATTCAGCAAAGTTGGCAGTTTCTCATGGGGCGGGATATGTGAGCATATACCAACTTACTGACACACCGCCTGAAGTTACGCTAAAAGCAGGTTCAGTTTCATCAGAGGATTCACACAAGCAGTAAAATTTTACAGGACTCGGTGATAAGTCATTTATAATATCGTATGGTGAAACGGCCCAAGATAGTTATATAAAATTATATATTTAGCTGTACTAGCTTAAAGGGCATTGGTTCGTATAACTTTATATTATTTTTTTAATACAATTTCGTATGCATTTGGCTGTATTATATGCTGCTTTTTCTGATGCATATACAATTATATTGGTATACAATAGATACTGTTATTATTAAAGACTTATTTATTATTTTATACAAGATTTGTAATTTAAAGATAAAATGATAGTAATTTTCGAACATGGCAATTTTTCCTGTGCATCAATGGAAAAAAACCCCATCCATTCAGCTTTACCATAGGACCCAGTAAAGACAATCGTATATATCCACTTTTTACTGTACGCCTCTAAATCGAGGTCAGCGATACAGCGTGAATACCTGACTCAGGGATCAAAGCCCTGTACGGATAGATATTTAACACTACTGTGTCCACTGAACTGTTTAGAACACTCACAACCTTGACGTAGGTCAACGAACCTGAAGGTATGCATTGTAGACGCCCATCCATGATCGAAAATAAAATATTTGTTTGCAATTCTATGGAACACTGTTGTGGTTAAAAAATCTTCTTCTTCTTTTTTTTTTTTTTTTTTTTGCGAAAGAGGAATTCTCATTTAAGAATTTATTTTAAAATGTTTTTCCAAATATTTTATAGGTAAAAAGTTGATGTTTGGATATTTTGTTAGACATTTTTGAATGCAAAATAAAATTGAAGGCTTTTAAAATGCACCACGGCATTTGATTCACAGAAACCATGTCTGTAGAGTGTATTATAAAGAATGCAGCTAAAACGGTAGGGGAAGGGCCACACTGGGACAATGCTACCAATACATTACTGTACGTAGATATTTACGAAAATGCTATACACAGATATAATCCCGCAACAGGATCGGACGACAAAATTACACTAGGTAAGAGATGATGCTTGTCAACCTAGAAGTATGGCCGCCCAATGAGATCTTTAACTGTTTCATAAAGTGTGAATTGTAGTGCAAGATGTTTCTTTTAAAGATATGCCTTAATATTTGATATTTTATAATTTAAAAAAAAACAGTGAAAAGGAGATGGGCAAACAAGGAGAGCAAACTGCCTATGGTGCATCAAACAAGAAAGTGAAAATTAAATCACAATAATAACAAAATTTTCTTTTCATAAAATAATTTTTGCTGACAGAGTTTTCCGCAGAAAAGTTTTGTTGTCATAATCTCACAAATTTCATCAATAAGAACAAAACTCACAAATTGAATACAGTATGATTTTTTCTACACTTGAAGCTATAGTGCATTTCTTACATCCTATTTGCCCTTCTTTAAAGATATACACGCTATAACTTGCGTCAGTTAAAATAAAGTTGAAAATTTATTTATTTTGTTTACCAAATAAAGAAACGAAAATATTGTAAATTACACAATTAAAAAAGAACGCGTTATAAAGATCTCAAAATATAAGTATTTATTTTACTGCTAGGAAAGTAATGCCTCTATTTAAATTCATGCGTCATGTGACACCGTCGCTACTTTTAGATTGATAAACAAAAATGGCGTCAAGAAAACGAGGTAGGCCGTTTAGTATACAGATAACTTTTGACATTGATGGCACACTTCTAATGCTTAAAGATAATTTCTTTTAAAACAACCAGTATTAACCATCTACTCTGTAATGACAGATATTAACCTTTTATCCATAATCGCAGTCAAAATGCGACATACCTCGTCGTCTATGATTTCCCGCGGACATGCGTGTCTATATACTGTTAACGCACTTCCTTCATCAATATTCATGAAAAGGCTGAATTCTTAATTGCAGATCTTGCTTAAAGGCAGTGATTTTAAGCACCGCCTTCAAAAATACCTGGTCTGTGTACCCCCTGTCAATCAAGTGCATTAAGATACATCATTGGGTGCTAGAACTTGATTGACATTTATTACAAGTCCCATTGTATACCCTGTACACATTGTTTGGCATTTGTGGTGACTTTCAAATTAACTTTTGATCCTTTGCTATTTACCATACATGGTATAAACAATAGAGAAGCTGTATTACTATGGAATTTTTAGCTTGATTATATATATATATATACATAAAGCACTAAAAACCAACAACACTGTATATCCTAAGTGTCGGATCTACTAAGTAGATACAAGGTCACGGATGGAAATTTATACAAAGCACTAAAAATGACCAACGACACGAACAATAATAATTGTCAAATTTTTGGGACGACCTGCCCCTTCCTCAGGACAAAGAAAAAATTAAGAAGTCATAAAAACAAAGGAAATAGAGAAACAAAAACAACTAGCACTACTACTAAACTACCAAACACTAAATATTTACAGTGTTACATGTTAAATTTCAAGTTAATAAACAGTCGTGAACAAAGAAATCCGGAGCGCTATGAATTGCGTCCGGTCTATCGGGTGAACTCTGGTGAAGTGCTAGTTTTTTTTTGTTTCTCTATTTCCTTTGTTTTTATGACTTCTTAACTTTTTCTTTGTCCTGAGGAAGGGGCAGGTCGTCCCGAAAATTTGACAATTATTATTGTTATATATATATATATATATATATATATATATATATATATATATATATATATATATATATATATATACCTTTAGTATTTGAAATAATTATGATATTCTTTATGATAATATTAATACAAGGTGTATATCAAAATTTGGTATAACTTTTTTCAAAGCTCAACAAATACTTTGAATAATAATATTTTTTTAATGGATGGGGACGCTTTGACACACATTCAATTATAAATTATTAAAAATTATTGAGATTAATCTTTATTTACAACTTTTTACTTCTAATTTAAAATCATCTCAAAATCCCAACACAGGTAAAGTTTGACTTCTTGGGTACTCTAGTGTGTATTATATCTCTTCCTGTGTATAGGGATTAGGAGACAAACGGCCACAGGTAGGCTGCTAGCCCTCAAGGCATTCACACCTGTACAAAATAAGCCCCTCCCTCATCTGGAATTTACTACCCGGTAAAAAATCTCTGCCTTTAAATGTTATGTAATTACAACGACTTTGCGGAAACTAATTATTTTTATTACACATCGTTTCTCAAATCAATTAATCGTTTTGTTTCACATAAAAATAGCGTTTATATAGCGTGTTTATCTTTAATAAATCATAAAGCCTTGTGCAAACCACATTTGAAGAAGACGTTCTCATAGCCTTTATCAAACAACTAACGAAAGTTTGTTATGAATTATTCAAATTATGCTGACACCATTTACTTTTTTTTGGTCTCAGCTGACGTAACTGAAAGTTTCTCCAAAATAACTTATTTCATTCATGGCCACATTTTACAAATTAACGTACACCTAAGAACAAATTAATATGATTTTTAAAATCTTACCTTCTGAAACCCATGAAAAATACATCATATCATATACATTGTATTTTAAATAAAATATAATTATTTTTAGTATTCCTCGCAATTCTACGTATTGTCTCATGGGGAGAAATGATTATATTCCTTTGTTATATGAAGTAAAAAGGCCATTTCTGTGTTTATCCCGCAATGTATGCTGAAACTGAGCATTTTAGTTATCAATGATTTTTTAAAAGGGGGGGTCACAAGTTTATATGAATGAATAGAGAGGCGATCAACCTTAGAAGGGCTTAAGTATATATTTTTTAACTGCTGAAGAACATTCCCGAACCAACATTTTAAATGTTCTAATGTTGTTAAAACATTTTTTGCCATTTTTTATATTGAGTCAGACAATTTGTGAAGATGTTTAAAAGCTAAATCTCCACATTGCAGACGGTACAGTGGGTTTCGTAGTTCCCGCCAGAAAAGGTGGACTGATAGCAGGTGTGGGTCGTTGTCTGGTACATGTAGACTGGGACACAAAAAAGGTGACCAAACTTCACGAGGTGGATAAGGGTCTTAAGACACGCTTTAATGATGGAAAATGTGACCCGAAAGGAAGAGTCTGGGCAGGTGTGTACCTCTATTTTAATGTTTAAGCTTTACTGTGCATCTTTTAATGAAAGTTTTCCAAGCAATAACTTTAATATGAAGTTTATAGAGTAGACTTTAGTTTCGAGGACACAAGCGGGTAATGTAGTACTGCTGACAGGCTTTATATAACCAATTAATCAAAATAAAAAAGTTGTTACAATATATTGATAAAATGAAAGGCACAACTAACTCCGCAAAATTTTGGCTGAAATAGCAAATACCCTGATATTTAGATTTATTTATTTCGATATATTTATATCTTTTCAAAAGAAAAATAATACTCGTAAGTAGAATTAAGTAGATTAAATATATATATATAATCGGTGACAACTAACAGATTTTAATCGATTTTTTTCCCAAACAATTTTATTTTATTCACTGAGTTTTTGGAAAAAATAATTGCTAAAAACTTAGATTTCCTATTCTTTTCTAGGAACAATGGGACCTGTGGAGCCGGATGTTCCTAGCATGAAGAAAATAGGCAGTCTGTATTGTTTAGATCTAGATGGCAAATTGCGCACTATGATTAGTGACGTAGGAATTTCAAACGGACTAGCTTGGTCAGAGGACGGAAAGTGGATGTATTATATCGACTCCACCCCACGACAACTCTATAGATATGACTTCGACTTTTCCACTGGCAGCATAGGTAAAATTTCAAATACTTGATAGAATATCATAAATTCAGATCAATAAAGAGATGTGATGCGAGGCTCGTAGTATCGTTTTTGGAAAGTGTGGGGAGGTGTGGCAGTCTGAAAAAAATTTGACACCTTACTTGAAAAGAACTGACAAGCAAAACACACAAACACCCACCCACACACACACTCACAAATAAAAATATGAAATAGAAGAGAATAAGGAAAAAGGTTCAGACTCCAAAATTTGTCCAAACCCGATGTTCCAACTTGTCTCACAGCCAAATTTATTAGTACATTACCACATTACCATGATTTGATTTATACTACAACAAAAGGTGGGGGTGGGGGCAAGTGTTTCAGTTATTATTTTCAACAGTAACTGGTTATGTTTGGGGAAGAAAATGGGGGACATCCTCTTACCCCCCCCCCCTTCCTAGATACATGTACTATGCACCTGATATTAAACCGAGTTTTTCTTTTGAAAAATATAATGGATAACCTTGTGTACGGAATAAGGAGAATACATCCTACTTGAATATCTTTAAAACAAAAAGCTAAAACTAAATCGATTTCTCCACTTGGAGAATGGAGAACATGATGTCATATCTAGTACTATCAATGCATAGATATTATTTAGTAGTTCTGAATGTGACCTATCTGCTCTTTGGTAAAAGATCGAACTGTAGGAAATGTAAGTAAATACATGTATTTTATGTGTTTATGTATGTTAAATCAGAAGGAACATTCCATTATGTAAGTATTTTATTAAGAAAATTATGAACTGGTTCATAAAACGTGTGGCTTTTGCTTTTTTGACTGTTTTATATTTCATTCTAGGAAACAAAAGGGTAATTGTTGACAATTCTGGTAAGTCGGTACCAGAGTATGGTTTTCCAGATGGAATGACACTAGACACAGAAGGAAAGGCCTGGGTTGCCAATTTTTTCAGCAAAAAAGTTGTCTGTTATGACACAAATACTGGTATGTTGATAATTTTTGCATAAATTTAGTATTGCTAAAACTGTAATTCTGCATACCCGGTATTCATCCTAGCTAGATTGTATTAAATTTACATGAAGCGGGTTAAAGAAAGTGATAAAATGAAGTTGTTTCATCATATTGCAAAATATTATTTGATTAATTCCAAATTTACAAGTTGCTATGTTGTATACAATTAGTCCTGTGAAATCGCTTATTTCTGTGGGGGTTAATTTTCGTTGTTTTCGTGGTATGAAGAAACCCTCGAATTCATGTCCTCACGAAAATGTTAAAATTTCAAAAGACAGCATTAGGTCGAACCTCGAAAAAATTGAGTAATTTTACAATATTTTCCATCAGTTAGTATATTTAAAATTTTTAATTTTTTTTTACAGCTCATAGAGTTGACATTTATGAAAGCTCCCAAGTGAGAGTGATTAGTGATTGTTCGTATTACAGCAGTCTTTACACCATAGATCAATTTTGCAACTAATGAATGCCTATGAAAGTTGGGCATAAAGCATTCAGATTGCACAAAATGCAGATTACAAAAGAGTCTTGCTTGCAAATAGAATAACATTTACATTGTCTTTGAAATGGTGTACAAAAGAATCATATAAAATAATTAAGAGCTAATATCAATCTTTCCATGCTGAAACCATATTTCCAAAAAGATGTCTTAAAGTTCCAATAAATAAAATGTTGGTTTAGCATTCCACCTTAAAAAGCATAATGGCTCTCAACAAACATTCAACAGACACAAAACAGAGTACAGCTTTAACCCCATTTTATAAACAGAAAACCTGGTTAACACTGTAAAACTGCCATAAACAGAATTCTTCTACACAAGTTGATGATATCCTTATTTATTTATGTTTGTCAATCATTTTAATTGTATTTAGGTGAAGAGTTACAATATGTTGAGTTTCCTGCTACAAGAATCACCTCGTGCTGCTTTGGAGGTCCAGATCTGGATGATCTGTATGTTACAACGTCTGCTTTTGAAGCAACGGAAGAGGAAATGAAGGAATATCCATTGTCGGGATCTCTGTTTCGGGTCAAAGGGCTCGGTGTCAAAGGTTACCCTGCAAATGTTTACGAGGGTGATATTCCTATTGAATGAAATAATGACAGAGGAGGATTTGTTACCAAAGTTGAAAATGCATTATATATTTTCGTATGAATTGATTATAGAAGTTTATACAAGAGCATGACATATACTTCCTATACTTGCTTTTCTTTTTAGCTCACCTGAGCCAAAGGTTGAACTGAGCTTTTCTGATCAAAGGATGACAGACTTCTTCCTGTCATGTGTTGTCCACAAACTTTTCACGTTTTCAGCTTTTTCTCCAAACCACTGATCTAATTCAACAAAACTTGCCTCAGAGCATTCTTGGGTTGAAGAAACGCAACCTCTTTTAAGGGGAGATTGTTAAGACATAGACAGAGTAAGGATAAGTAGGCCATTTAAAAATCTTCTCAAGAATCACTGAGTCAGAAAAGATAAATTCCTGACATAGTGTAGATACAAATTTTGGCCTCCGGAGGAAGGTTCGACTTTCAAAATCAAATAATTACATGGGAATGTATGTAAAAAAGATATTGCCGTCGAGAAGAGCAAGTCATTACTAGTATTAGCCATAATAACACACAAGCACCCTCAGATGGTGCAGATTCAGATTTGTTCCAATCATGGCCCCCATGGGAAGGTTGGGACAATAATAAGAGATACGTAGGAATACAACAAAAGTTTAAAAAAAAAAAAAAGAGAGTGGCAGGGTCACACTAAATCATATTGATGTGCATACTTGTTGAAATATGAATTTTATCTTTTTTTATCTTTTCAATTTTAAGTTTAAAATTTAGCTTTGAATCTGGTTCAGATGTTAGAATAAATTGTACAGCTATTGGCTGCCTATATACAACTTATTCAATATATTTTAATGCAATATCCTTATATAAAGTTTGCCTTCCTGTTTAGCTCAACTGATAAATCATAGATCAGAAGAGCTTATGCATTGGTAAGGTGTGCGTCTGGCTGTTCGTCAACAATATTTCAAAATGCCACTCTTCTTACAGTTTTTTTTTTTATTTCAGTATAACAGGGTACACAAGACTTAGTAGGTTACACTAAGACACGTAACTTATTTTTTAGTTTTTGATTTTGATGAACGGGATTGCCATTTTACTAAAAATAAATCTCTGTGAAATTCTTTAAAAGACTACTACAGTTTTGGTCTAATTGCAGAAAAACCTTCTATACAAGAAGACTATACACTGAGATATAAACATGTATTTTTTTAAAATCAGTTTCTGATTTTAATGAACGATGTTGCCATGGTTACTAAAAATTGCAATTCCTGTGAAATTCTTTCAAAAAGCTACTTTTCCTGCAGCTTTGATCCGATTTAAATAAATCTTTTTTCACAAGTATACTATACTCAGACAAACAACTCTATATCAGTTTTTTTTTTAATTTCGCTGAACGATCTTACCATGATTACTGAAAATAGAAATTTCTATGAATTTCTTTCAAAATGCTACCCCTCCTAGACTTCGGGTCCGATTTCAATAAAACCAGGAACACAAGTAGACTTTAAAGATTCACGACCCTCTCTATCGGTTTTTGATTTAACAAACATGTTGCCAGGGCTACTAAAATAGATTTTTTGGTGAAATTATTTCAAAAGGCGATTCCTACTACAGTTTTTGTCCAATTTCAATTTAACTTGCCACAAAAAGATACTAAACCAAGGATCATTATTATATTTTTTTGCTGTTGCCATAGTTTCAAGTTCAAGCGTTTCTTTTCTAAACTTTTGTACAATAAATAACCATAGAGCTACAGTCTCGTCAGAGACTTTTGGTTAGTGTACTCTTCACTTATGAATCTCAATAAATTAATCAAGCCATGTTCAGTGTTCTTCTATTATCTACATATGTATTCACCAAGTATAAAATTAGAAAGTATTATATCACAGAAATATTTATTTTTACATGTATCTGTCTGTGGACCATAGGGAGTGGAGGCTTAGTTATTGTTAATTAATGTTATTGTCTTGAAATATCCTTTGAGCAGTTTGGAGTACAGCACAAGTAGAGTGTTAAATGTAGTAAGAGGATTCAGATGTTGTCAAGAGTGAAAGTTAGAATAAATTAATTTTAATGACCCTCTATACACTGATGAAAAATGCTTTTCGAACTTTGAGAAAATATAGCGGCGGATATTTTAAAATCATCTCACTAATTTTTAACATAGGGTGCGTGCCATTTATACCAAGGAGAATCTTCAGAGTCAACGAAGTAATGATAAAGAAAAATTGCGTTTGCTTTTGAAAACGGAGAAAAAAACATGCGAATAAAGATTTCAGCTACTCTATCTTGGTCTAATATGATTGAATTATTTACAAATGGCATACAGTGCAGATTACAATTTATTCTGTTTCATATCAAATGGTGGATCAGTCTAACTACACAAAAGTACCCTGAAATAAGTGAGCAGTGAAGGAAAGGTCGTTAAACTATCCTGTTTTTATATTGATCGTATATAATAAAGTTGCCACAATTTCTACAGAGCATATATCGAAATACTTATCAAATAGATTTTTCTGCGAAAAATATGAATTTACTAGTATTTCTTTTCACATGTCTGAAAAGAAAATGTTAGAAAACTGCAATAGTTAATTTTTGTTTTCTCTCTTTAAGTAAAGATTTTCTCAAGACGACCTGGCTATTTTCTACGTATGTTTACAAACAAACAAAAAATACAAACCATACGGTTTTGGTTAGATGGTTTTAACATATTTTACGAGAAATTGATTTTCACGAAATATAGAAAATACATGTAAATGAGTAAAATTGTTGACTCTAAAAGTATTCTTTCAAAGTTTGTGCTGTGCTCTGTACATCAACATCTGAGATATTTTAGTAAACTTACATTTAAAAAAATTAATTAAAGGAAAATGTAACTGTAACCATTCGTTGCTACCTGACGTCTGTAAGAGACATATACAGTCAAACCTGTACATGTATAAAGAGACCTTCCAAAAGAGAAAGGGAAAAAATTCATAAATGATAGATGGTCTCTTAGTACAGGTTGCTTATTCTCAGCAAGGTACAAATATTCAATGCTGAAAATATTATACATGTATTTGGAATTTATTTTATTTCATATAATGCATACACGTATTTCCATAGAGACAGGTGGTTGATATATATATATATTGATATATATAGGGTAATATATATATATATATATATATATATATATATATATATATATATATATATATATATATATATATATATATATATATATATATATATATATATATATAGGGTAAAAGAGGGAGGTTGCACTTGTAACACTTTGCGATTAATGAGTCTTAATAAGGTGATTCGCTATGGCAGTTTGAACTGTAACTCGAGTCTGCGTAATATTTGAAAAGATTGGGAAAAAAGGTCTTTTGACTTTCTCTCGCCATAAAGTCTTCTTCGGATAACATTTATTTTTAGATATTCTAAACACTAGTATCTGCAAATGCAGATAATCTTCACTTTGATAAACTGAAGAGCAAACATTTACACGATCACATTTAGTTAAGAAGGAGTTGTCCCAGATTTAAAAATGGCTGTCGAATGTGTGATAAAGAATGCAACAAAAACAGTTGGAGAAGGTCCCTATTGGGATGACATGACAAATACACTTCTCTATGTGGACATACAAGAAAATTCCATCCATAGATTTAATCCAGAGACGAGCGTTGACGATAAAATAGAACTAGGTAAGTCATAAAATGTGCATCTAGTGTAGCGAACATTATTTCAAATTTTTAAAATGACCTTTCTCCAATAATTGTTGAAATAATATGCTCATTAAGTCATTAACCAAAATGGTCATTAAACTGAAAATGGAAATGGAAAGGTTTTTCCATCCTACCTACTGCATACGTATGTCTATTTTACGTAGAAATTTATAGTAGGATACTCTTGCACAATGTGTTAAGATTTGGACTGCGGGTTGAGTTCAATTTTGGTCGTAGATCGAATTATATAATTTTTTTCGTAGAGGACACTGTAGGGTTTGTTGTTCCTGCCAGAAAAGGTGGACTGATAGCAGGTGTGGGTCGTTGTCTTGTACATGTAGACTGGGACACAAAGAAGGTGACCAAACTTCATGAGGTGGAGAAGGGTCTAAAGACACGCTTTAATGATGGAAAATGTGATCCGAAAGGAAGAGTCTGGGCAGGTAAGCATTTGTATACTGAAAACTATTTCCACTAAGATTGACAATCTTCTGATTTTTTTTTTCAGAGTAAACGGTACTACTTGTAGCATTAATTCTTCGAGTTTCCAACAAATTTTGCTTGTAGGAACGATGGGTCCAATCGATCCTGATGTCGTGAATATGCCAAAAATTGGTAGTTTGTACTGTCTTGACTTGGATGGCAGTCTGCATACAATGGTGAAAGACGTCGGCATTTCTAACGGTCTTGCCTGGACCAAAGACGAAAAAACAATGTACTACATCGACTCGACACCAAGAAAAATATACCGCTATGATTATGACGTAACTACAGGACAGATTTGTAAGATTTCATACTCAGGAAACTAATATTAATACCGGTATCAACCCGAGGTTCTTCCGTCGAAACGATGGTTGTTTGTCGCAAAATTTACATTCTGTTAATTAGAGTGTGTATATTTAAAGTCTCATCTACAAAAATGCAATTAGGCAAGGGCAGATCCAGAACTTTTTGAAGGGGGGGGGGGGGGTCCAGGGTGGTGACCCCCCCCCCTAAACAAATTTTCAAACAGATTCTCACACAAGGAGAGAAAAATCATCTTAGGTAAATAATATCCTTGTTTTACGTCTCTTAATTCTTTGAAAAGGTATCCATTCCAAATAAAAAACAAACACATTCCAAAAACTACTGAAGCTTAAAATTGAATGGATTTGCAACACTTCCAAATGATACAGAGAACTATTGTTCAGAATTTGATAAACTTTTGTTTGTTTTGTTAACTAAATTTTCCTGCAAAACTACCCGCCAGGGACTTAAAACAAAGAAATAATTTACTGCGGCATAATGCATTCCCTTAATGACTTACCTTTAAAAGATGATCCGAAAATGGTATACATTTATAGCCAAAGACCCACTTATTCTGATATCAAATTGAACCTGGCATGTTACTTTTCCCATATTGAAATAAGAAGAATATTTTCAACCATTCGTTACCGGTCACGGTAGCTTGGTTAGGGCGTTTGCCTTGTGATCGGGAGGCCCGGATTTGATTCTCGTTCGCCACGCTGCGTCAAACCTAAGACTTAAATATAGGTGACTGCTACTTCGCCAAGCCCCCAGCATTAGAAGTGAAAGTCACGGGTTTTTCGAATGAGACCTTAAAAACCGATATCCCATGTTAGTAGGCGTTGGCACGATAAAAACCCTCACTGCTCAATGACCCTGAATGCCGAGTATAGGTCTAAATTTGAAGCCTTTCACCGGTATACGATGACTTCTTTATATGAGTGAAAAATTCTTGAATGAGACGAAAAACAACACAGTCATTCAATCAAACTACCATTCATTTAAAAAAAGCTGAAAGGGAGGGATATTGATGGTAAATGGAGGATTGATTGATTGACTGTATGTTGTTTTACATCCCGTTCAAGAATTTTTCAATCATATAGAAACGTCACCACATACGTGTGAAGGGCTTAATTCAAATTTACACCTATGCTCGGCACTCAGGGCCATTGAGCAGTGAGGGATCTTTATTGTGCCAACGCCTGTCATGATACGTGCCTTGGTTTTTAAGGTCTCATCCCAAAGACCCGCTACTTTCACTTCGAAGTTCCGAGCACTTGGCGAATGAACAAATTGCTACCTATTTTTAATCGACTTATGTCAGTCGCGGCTGGGGTTTGAACCCACGACCTTCTAATCACGGAGCGAGCGCTCTACAGACTGAGCTACCGTGACGGTTTAAATGGAGGAAAGGAAATATGTTAAACTCTATCTATATCTTCCCAAGTCAAGGGTTTCTGATCCACTCCGCCCCACATAAACCCTTGACCGAATAGACTAAGTTTGACGGGGTTAGAAATGGGCTTTCTGATTGACATCATACAAGTTTGCATGAACCAAATCAAACCATTATTTTATTTAATCTGAAACTAAACCGTAAACAGAAAAACACGCCAGTTTTAGTCCCAACAAAAACGTCTTTGCCATTAAATAACCCAGTTAAAAGCTGGTCTCAGCGTGAGTTTTATTGAATTTATTACCGACTTCCAATATTGTCTTGCATTTTTTTTTGTTTAATTCGCTTTACTCTGATTGGCAATAGCGGAGGTCAGTATACCCGGTAGTTCAAAATGTTAAATCTCACTGGATGGCGCGAAAGTAAATCCCGTCAAACTTGGTTTATATGTGGAGCGATGTGGATCAGAAACCCTTGAGTTGGAAAGATGCTCTGTCTGTAGGAAATGGAATATGAACAGACTGGGCCAATCGAGCTGTTTTGAACTACGATTATATTCAAAACATACTTGACGTAAAAATGTCTATTCCAAAAAACGTTTTATCCTCTCTCTCTCTCTCTCTCTCTTTCAACCTGGCAAAAAGGGGGTTTCCAGCCCCCGAACCCCCCCCCCCCCCTCACTAAGGATCCACCAATGTTAGAAAACTGAAGCCTTTACTAGTATAATGGCAGTTATACATGATATGTAATAATTGTTAAAATGCACAATGTAGCCTATATGTACCTTTGCATACATGTAATTCTGTAATTTCTTATTGTAGCTAATCAGAAAGTGATTGTAGACAACGCTGGAAAACCATTAAACGAATTCGGTTTTCCTGACGGCATGACCATTGATACAGAGAATAAACTATGGGTAGCATGCTTCTTTGCCAGTAAAGTTGCTCGATATGACCCACAAACAGGTAATTACCTTTGCAATCTCTTGATGAAAAAATTAATTCAGCATTTAAATTGCTTTGCAATACTCAGAACTTTCAAATATTCTTGTTCGTACTGTTGAATTATATAATACAAAATTGACAACAAATCCATAAGTTGTAGAAATAATCTTTTCTTAACCATAATTTTATCATTTAAAAAAATATAAGATTGTGATTGCGTGTATGCTTAAGTGAAATGTGAAACTTGTTCATAAGATTCAATATAGTATCTAGTATGTAGGCACATTAAAAATAAATTCACTTTTACTTTACTAGGTCAACAATTGCAGTCTGTAAATATCCCTGCTGCAAGAATAACGTCATGTTGTTTTGGCGGGAAAAATTTGGATGAACTTTACGTCACGTGTTCCGCTCACGAGGTCTCTGAGGAAGAGTTTCAGAAATATCCATTGACTGGTTCTGTGTTCCGAGTTAAGGGCCTTGGCATTAAAGGTTTTAAAGCACAAATATATGAAGGAGAAATCAAAGAGGGTTAGAAAATTAAATACTAGAAATACAATAAAATTGTATGAAGTAGAAATATGCATGTATGTATTCATTGAGTGGTTTTATGTAGTCCCACTCAAAAACATATTTTGACTTATGCTGAAATCAGTAAAAGTTAGGTCAGTTGTATAAAATGTAATTACAATAAAATATAAAAACAGTGGAGTTGAGCACTTGTATTGCATACAAAATTCTGTTTTGTCAGACAAAAAAATACCATAATATCCATGCGCAAAAGACGTCGATGAACCTTTTCTGGGAATTTTTTGTTTTTTTTGTTTGTTTAATGTTCCTTCGAGAATTGGATGAAAAGTGAACTTCATTCGAATTCGATTTCCACCCGGCTTAATTCGGAATTGCTTTCATTGTCCAATCAGGAAGCTTGATTTCGATGTCCCTAAGCTAATTTTACAGAATTTCTTTAATGAGCTGACACTTATTTCTTATATTAATAAAACGGCGAAAAGTGTGAAAGTCATTTACTTAATTTCCGAGAAAAGAGTTATTAACAATAAAGGGATTATCATAGGCGTCGGAAGCAAATTGAAAGTGGGGTGGCTAATTGAAAGGGGGGGGGGGCTAAACCAACCCAACCTATGTCTATCTTTGCAAAAAAAGGGGGGAGGGCTAAACCCCACTAGCCCCCCCCCCCCCCCCCGATTCCGACGCCTATGATTACAGACTGTTATAGATAAGTTTAACTTGATATCAAAGTCTAAACTTTTAATGTAACACATATCGAGATGCCACCACTTGCCGGTGAGGGCTGCAAATTAAGACCTGTACTCGTCACTTATGATCTTTGAGTTGTGGAGGATCCTTTTCGGACTCGGATCTGTGGTTATGGATAATGCAAATCAAAGGCTTTTTAAACCGCCACGTTTTACGGAATAAAATACATCTTTTCCTTAAACTTCAATATGCCAACGAAGGAATTGACGCGGTTAATATAAGTAATATTGGGTCCAGTCTTGTATTCCAACATATTTCCAATTGTTGACTACAACATGTATTTCCTATAAATATACATCGACTATTGCTTCCAAACTTTTTAATTACAAGAAAACTTTACAGAGCCTGGATATTGAGCATCTGAAACATAATCCTCCACCGTGTTCACGTTCTTCTTCACCCTACAACTTTAGTCCTGCTGGACACGTTATTACTGGTGACGTAAATATAATTAATAATGAGGACCTTAAATCACTTATTTTAAAAGGGCCAACATTAAGGGAACCCCGATCTTTCAACTAGATTCATAATTTCATAAATATGAATTCTGTGGAAGATTACGCCAGGCGATGGGCCAGACATGAAAAAGAAGACCTTTACCCTTTGTCAGAATGGATTAAATGTATCAGATGTATGTTAAAATCTCTCATTAAGCGATTGAGGGGCAATATGAAAACCATCTATCCTTCTGTGTTCCAATAATTCAGAAGTGAAAAAAGAATTAGATAGACTACACGATCAGTATGTACTGGTCCCAGCTAACAAAGCAGGTAACAACATTGTCTTTGTTTGTAAGGCTCATAATTTTAATTGTATTTTAGAAGAACTGGGATTTAATTCTACAAGTGGCAAACCAACTTATACCCATAACTCCCTCTCTGAAGAGGAAATTCTTCAAAATCATATTTTGAATATTTTTAAAATTCCCAACAACCAAAATGAATTTGAATTACCATATTTATATTGAATTCCGAAACTTCATAAAAATCCTTACAAACAAAGATACATAGTTGGTTCCAGTAAATGTTCTACCAAACCTCTTTCTTTCCTCCTCACTGAAATATTACCAGCAGTGAAGGAGAAACTTCAGGAGTACTGTGCAACAATATATTCGAGAAGTGGTGTAAATCACATGTTGATACTAAAAAATTCCAAGGAACTTTTGGAAAAATTGAAATCACAAAATTTTACCAAAATCAATAACATAAAAACAACATAACAAAGACTTTTCAACTCTGTATACAACCATTTCCCAGGATAAATTTACAATATTTGTGTAATAATACAATTTGATGGGTAACTGCAAAGGATAGAAGAGGTAAGGTATACATTATAATACAGCTTACTCCACTTATATTGAAATCGCTTAGTCAAAGCATAAATCCGAAATAGCTAAGGATTTTGGGATTAACCCGAGTATACTTATGATGATATACAAGCAGCGTTCAGCAAGTAATTGAAGCGGTTGAGTTCGATGATTTTCTCCAAAAACATGAAAGAATGCGATCGGGGAATTATAATGAGGTAGACGATTGTCTTTTCAAATGGTTCACAAACGCAAGATCCTCAAACATGGCCATTTACGGCGGAATTCTTGCTGAGAAATCTGAATAGATTGTAATAGATAAACGATGACCAAATTGATTTGTTCGGGGTTGTTCTTCTTTATTTCAGATCGGGATTGAACTTTTAAAAATGGCGGCTTCACGTCAGTCGATTTCGCTTATATTGAATTACGGATATATTGAAATAATTTGCATGGTCCCCTGAATTTCAATATCTCCGGAGTAGGCTGTATTTACATTTTCCAATGTCCTTCTCTGAGATAGTATTAGCTTTATAACCCCATAAAGCGATTTGCTCAGCACGTGACAGAATTGCATACTATTTCGTTGAGTGTTGCTTAGTAATACACCTGGCGGGGATGCTGAGATTTCTTATTATTGATTTTTTTTTATTGATTCAAGGATCATTAACTTCCTCTTGCCATGCTGTCTTCTGCTGATTACGTTTATTTTTAGCTCACCTCAACGAAGTTGGGGGAGCTTATGTAATACCCTACGCGTCGGGTGTTGGCGTCCCAGGTTAAAGCTTTTGGAGCAGATTTCCTTTCAAGTACTTCTTTGCCCTATATTAATCAAAGATGCATGGAGGATGCTCCTAGTGTGTTTCATTGTACCAGTCAAGGTTTCAGATGCTGCAATTTCAGCTAAAGAGTGGCCAGGTTAATGTTTTTGGAGCAAGTTAAAGTTTTTGGAGCAGGTCTCATATCCAAGTAACTATAAGCCCTATGTTGACCAAACTTGCATGGATGATACACCTAAAGATGCACACTACCAGGCTTGCTTTGGATGCTGGATCTGACCTTCATTCCGAATGAATGACCAGGTTTAAGTTTTTGAAGCAGATCTCATTTTCAAGTAACCATAATTACTATGTTGACCAACTTGCATGCATGATACATCTAAGGATGCACACTACCGGACTTGCTTCGGATGCTGGATCTGACCTACATTTTCCGAATGAGTGACCAGGTTAAAGTTTTTGGAGCAGATCTCATTTCCAAGTAACTATAAGTCCCATATTGACCAAACTTGCATGGATGATACACCTAAGGATGCACACTACCAGGCTTGCTTCGGATGCTGGATCTGACCTGCATTCCGAATGAATGACCAGGTTTAAGTTTTTGGAGCAGATCTCATTTCCAAGTAACTATAAGTCCTATGTTGACCAAACTTGCATGATACATCTAAGGATACTGTAACACACTACTGGGTTAGCTTCGGATGATGTCCAGATCTGACCTATATTTTCTGGATGAGTGATCAGGTTAAAGTTTTTGGAGGAGGTCCATTACTAAGAAACTATAAGGGCTATCTGAACTTAATTTGCATGGATGATACATCTAAGGATGCACACTACTGGACTTGCTTCGGATGCTGGATCTGACCTATATTTCCCGGATGTGTGACCAGGTTAAAGTTTTTGAAGCAGGCCCACTTCCAGGAAACTTAAAGGTCTATCTGAACCAAACTTGAATAGATGCGGCATTAATGGACGAACATTCTCAAACTTGCTTAAGATGCTGGATTTGACTTACATTTTCTGGATGAGTGACTTATTTTAAGTTTTTAGATAAGTCCAATCCCAAGTAACCCTATCAGACAAAAATTGCATAAATGTTGCATCTAGGGATGCACACTACTAGATTATTAGTTTAGTGGGATTTTGCCTTTCTTAAAGACAACATTCGTTGAAGTGAGCTCTGTAATCTCTGATTACCTATGTTTAGGTAGTGTCTGCAAATGCAGATAATCCTTACCCAGATAAACCAGAGAGCAAACATTTACACAACCTCATCTACATGTAGTTTAATGTATATGTATAAAGGAGTATTTCCAGATTCAAAATGGCTGTCGAATGTGTGATAAAAAATGCAGCAAAAACAGTTGGAGAAGGTCCCCATTGGGATGACATGACAAGTACACTTTTCTATGTGGACATACAAAAAAACTCCATCCATAGATTTAATCCAGAGACGAGCGTTGACGATAAAATAGAACTGGGTAAGCAATAAAATGTGTATCTAGTGTGTAGCTTACCTTATTTCTACTTTAAATGACACTTTCCAAATATTGTTGAAATCCCAGTTTTTATTAAAGTGGTACACATTTACCAAAAGGTCAACTTTCTTTGTTTGCAATACAGTACTATGGAAATGAACAAATGTTCTAATCCTATTTCATGCAAGTTCATGACGAAAAATAAAAAAAAAACTTAAATATTTATCTTAGGTAGTCCGATCCTCAGATTCTGAAAATCAGCAGTTAAGTTATTGAAAATGCGCACAAAATGACTGAATTCACAAAGTATTGTGCATTCACCCTTGGTATTTCTTCAAAGTTCATCATTATTATAGTAAATCATAAAATATGGAAATATATTTAATTAATGTGGTAAAATTAAGGATTATCTCCCCCATGCATAACCCTGATCCTTCGACGTATTTGGCTCCAGTCTTTGGCACCCTTTTTCACCTCTTCATAGTCTTTTTTTATTTATATATTTTGGATTTCCAACGTTTCGGCATGAGCATCACTTAAGAAACATAATTTGTAATTTTCTGGTGCATCAAAATTAGTACCGTATATGCTTTACATTAATAGGGAAAATTATCAAATCTCAAATATATTTTCAGGAAATGCGAATGAAAAACCCAGATATACATTTTCTAATTGCATATTGATCAACAAATATATACTAGTATTGGAATAAAAAAAACTATAGGTATCCAGACATTCGGAGAAAGTTGCATTTT